CGAGCTCGCGGCCATGGGCTGCGCGCCGCCGCACCCGGCGGAGGCCGTCGTCGCGGCCGCCGTCGCGCTCGACGCGCGGCGGCGCAACGTGGGCCTGCGGGACCACATGCCCCGGTCCACGGACGCGCCGAACTTCATCGAGGTCATCGAGCGCGCCGCCGCGCGCGCCGCGCGCTACGCGGAGAAGGACGCCGAGGGCGGGCCCCGGGGCCGGGGCCGGAAGAAGCCCGCGGCCGAGGTCGCGAACGCGGAGAAGCAGCGCGACGAGCGCGTCCTCGAGCAGATCGAATTCTATCGGCGCGACTACGTCGCCGACGTCGCGCTCCAGTGCTGCCAGATCGTGCCGGGGAGGCGCATCACGGCGCACGACGCGCTCCGCCACCCGCTCTTCGACCGCTTCCGGGGCACGGACGTGGAGCGCAACTTCGACGGCGCGGCCCAGTTCGCGGACCTGGAGCTCCACTGCGGCGAGGCGCTGGACGAGGGCGGCGCGCGCCTGCCGCCGTCGGAGTACCGCGTCAAGCTCACGACCTACGTGAAGATCTTCTCCGCGCGCAAGGTCAAGTTCATCCGCCACAGCGCCTACAAGCGCCGCTCCAAGGCCGAGGAGGAGAGGCTCAAATTCGACCGCGTCCACGGCGACGAGCTCCGGGGCGACGACAAGTCCTGGGGGTCCACGGTCGAGTCGAGCGTCAAGTCGTCCAGCGGCGGCACCTACAACAGCGACCGCGGCCGCGGCGGCGACCACGACGGCAACAAGGCCGACGCGCCCGCGCCCGAGCTCTCCGACTCCGACTCCGACGGGTACATCTAAAAACGCCCGGTTCTTCTCGCGGGGTCCGCCGTCGCGCGCGCGCGTCGGACCCCCGGCCGCCGGCAGCATCTTGATCGTCACTGTGATCGTGGAAACTTCTTCGGCGCTTCGGGAAGCCAGAGGCTGCCCAGACAACAGGCTGGACTGGAATTACCTGAGCATTCGCTCCCCGCCGCTCGACGACGTTCGGCGCGATCGCAGACCCGACTCGACGCAACACCCCACCATGGCCTCGAACATCTACGGCGAGCCCGGCACGCTCTACCAGCGCTGCGGCGGCGTCTTCGGCGTCTCGGCCTTCGTGGACCGGTGCATGGACCGCTGGATGACGACACGCTCAACGCCAACGCCATGGTCACGCGCTGGCACGAGAGCGCGCAGCGGCCCGGCTTCAAGTTCCTCGTCGTCCAGATCGTCTGCAACCTCACGGGCGGGCCCCAGCGCTACACCGGCCGGCCCATGGACGAGGCGCACAAGCACCTGAACATCAGCGAGGCGGAGTGGGGCGTCTTCATGGGCCTCTTCAACGAGGTCTGCGGCGAGTTCGGCCTCCCCGCGGAGGACCAGGACGACCTGAACGCGCTCATGATCAGCATGGAGGACGAGTGCGTCGTCTACCCCGGCGAGCGGCCGCGGCGGGACCCGGGCCCCTGGCGGCCGGGGGGGCACGCGGCCTACGGCCTCTGCGGCGGCGTCTATCCGATCGCGCTCTTCGCGGACCGCCTCGTCGACGCGCTCCTCGCGGACGCGCGGTTCAAAGTGGCGACGGACGCGAAGCGGACGCCCGCCGCGCTCAAGTACCTCCTCACGGAGGCCGTCTGCAAGGCCTGCGGCGGGCCCGAGGTCGTCACGGCGCGCGGCGCGCCGGAGGCGCAGCTCGGCGTGCCCAAGGGCGCCTGGCGCGCCGTGAACCTGACCGCGCGCGCGGCCGCGGACCACGTGGAAAACGACGGCGCGCGGCGCGCGCTGCTCGCGGCCTTCGACAGGGGCTGCCGCGGCGCCGTCGTCGACGAGTCCAACGGCGCCGGCGACTTCAAGGGCGTCGCGGGCCGCGCGGCGACCGTCAAGTCCAAGGACGACGCGGCCGCGGGCGCCATGGTCTCCGCGGAGGAGTTCGCGGAGCAGCGCGCGGCGCTGCTGGCGTCGTCCGCGGCCGCGCGCCGCGACGCCGTCGCCGCGCGCCGGGCCGTCTACGGCGACCCGCGGACGCTCTACGGCCGCGGCGGCGGCGTTTTTGGATTAGCGCGCCTCGTGGACCGCATGATGGACGCGTGGATGTCCGGACGGCGCGCTCAACGCGAACGCGAAGGTCGCGCGGTGGCACGAGTCCGTGTGCGCGCCGGGCTTCAAGTTCCTCGTCACGCAGCTCATGGGCTACCTGACGGGCGGCCCCCAGCGGTACACGGGGCGGCCCATGGACGTCGCCCACAAGCACCTGCACATCACGCCCGCGGAGTGGGCGCGCTTCGCCGCCGTCGCCGACGACGTCATGAGGGCCGCGGGCGTGCCGCGCGGCGCCGCGCGCGAGCTCCACGCCATCGTCGCGAGCTTCGAGCGCCAGTGCACGACGGCGCCGGGCGAGGAGCCCTGGCCCGAGCCGGGCCCGCCGCGGCCCCACCCGTCGACGGTGGGCACGGCGTTCCACCGCCTCGGGGGCGTCTACCCCGTCGCGCAGTTCGTCCAGCTGCTCGTCGCGTCGGTCCTCGCGGACGGCTCGGGCCTGCGGACGCCGCCGCTCGGCGACGACGCCGACCCGCTCGCGAAGCGCCACGCGCCGGGGCTCACCTACGTCGTCACGGAGCTGCTCTGCCACGCGGCCGACGGGCCGGAGGTCGCGACGGTGCGGGGCTTCGACGACGCGAAGCTCGGCATCCGCGCGGACGAGTGGGACGCGTTCAAGGGCCTGGCCTGCAAGGCGGCGGCCAAGGTCTTCCCGACGCACCACCACCACGCGCTCGCGCTGCGGACGCTCGAGAAGGCCAAGGCGGACCTGTGCGTCGGCCTCGCCGTCGGCGAGACGGGCGACGTCGGCCCGGCGTCGGGGCACTTCGACGACGGCCCGGCGGCCGTGCCGCCCGCGCCGCCGGCGGGCGCCGGCGGCTGCCCCTTCGGGGGGAAGGCCGCCGCCGGCGGGACGTGCCCCTTCTCCGGTAAGACCGCGGGCGCGCCGCCGGCGGCGCCGCTGCCGGAGAAGGACGCCGAGGCCGCGAGGACGCTCGCGGAGAAGGGCGTCGACGACGCCATGATCGCGATGATGCTCAAGTGCGACGAGGCCCAGGTCGCCGCGGCCGTGCGCGGCGCCGTCGCGATCCCCGCGGGCGACGGGGCCGAGCAGGCGCGCGCGGGCGCCGTCGGCAAGGTCGTCGGCGACGCGTGGCAGGGCCGGCTCGACGCGCTCGTCGACGAGGACCCGGACCTGTGCTGCCCCGTGACGCTCTGCCTGCTCGTGGACCCCGTGCGCGCGCGCGACGGCTTCGTCTACGAGCGCGAGTCCGCGGCGGCGCTCGCGAAGCCCGACGGCACCATGGTGTCGCCGATGACGCGGCGCGCCGTCGACGCGGCCGTCGTCGACGCGCCGGAAAAAAAGGCCGCGGCGCGCGCGTTCCGCGAGAAGCAGGCGGCGGCGCTCGTCGAGTTCGGCCAGGAGATCGTCGACGGGTTCCCGGACGCGCCGCACATGGCCTGCGAGGCCCTCGAGCGCGCGGCCGAGTACCTCCGGGCCCTGCGGCCGACCTGCCCGCCGTCGCTGACGGACGCGACGGCGACGCTCTGCGCGCACCTCCTGTCGACGGCGGCCGACGGGACCTGGGCGCCCGCGCCGGCCGCGCGGCGCCGGCTCCAGGGCCTCGCGCTCGAGTGCAACGGCGCGGGCGACGACGGCCGCCGCAAGGTCACGTGCTTGTGCTGTTACGACGACTACCGCGCGAACGAGGGCCTCGAGTGCGACGGCGGCGAGAAGCACTTCTTCTGCGGCGACTGCCTCCAGGGGTTGGTCGCCGCGGCCGTCGACGGCGACGGCCTGCGGCTCTTCGCGGAGCGGGGGGGCATCGCCTGCGCCGGCCCCGGCTGCAAAGCGCCCGTCTTCTCGGACAAGAAGCTCGCGGAGAACCTCGACGACGCGTCCTTCGCCGGCTACGTAAGGGCGAAGGAGAACCTCGCCGAGGCCAAGGTGACGCGGGAGCTCGAGGGGCAGTTCGCGGAGCGGCTGCGCGACGAGGTCCGCGCGCTGCGGGACGCCGCGGGCGGCGGCGGCGACGACGCGTGCGCCGCGGAGCTCCGGGGCCACGTCCTCGAGAAGATCTTCACGCTGGCCTGCCCGCGCTGCGACCAGGCCTTCGTCGACTTCAACGGCTGCTTCGCTTTGACGTGCTCGCGGCCGGGCTGCGGCTGCGGCTTCTGCGCCTACTGCCTCCAGGACTGCGGGAAAGACGCGCACGAGCACGTGCGCCACTGCCGCAAGCACGGCGCGACGGGCGACTTCTTTGGCGACTTCGACGCCGCGCAGCGCAACCGGCGGTCCGCGCTCTTCCGGGATTTCCTGCGGCGGCTGCCCAAGGCCTGGGCCGCGCGCCTCGTCAAGGACTGCGCGCGGGACCTCGCGGACCTCAAGCTCGGCGGCGAGGCGGACTTCGCGAACTGCCACGGGCCCGCGGACGCGGACCCGAAGACGGCCGTGGCCAACGCGCTGGCCGAGCGCAAGGAGGAGGCCCGCGCGCCCCCGCCGAACGCGCGGCGGCAGCCGGAGCCCGCGGGGCGGAGGCGCCGGGGCCACCAGCAGCAGCGGAACGTCGCCTACTAAGTTCTTTGTCTTTTGTACGACCCGGACCACGATGCTGGTCATCCCAGGTACGATCGTCGCGCTGGTCAGCTCCCGTGTGTACATAGTTTTAAAAAACCGCTCTCGGTTTCACGGCGCGACGACGCAGACGCTCGTCAGCTCGCAGTAGCCCTCGTGTTCGACGGACGCGTCCTCGTCGAGGGACCCGTCGTCGTCGTCGTCGTCGTCGGAGAGGAGCGGCGCGTCGCCGTCGTCGAGGTCGACGGCGCCGCGCGCGTCGACGTAGCCGTCGGGGATCGCCTCGCCGAAGGCGATGTCGTCGTCCACGGACCCCGACGGCGGCCGCCGCCGCTCCGCGTGGAGCTCGCGGCGGCCCCTCAAGAACCAGAGCGCGCCCGAGAAGATCGTCAACGACGTGGCGTCGCCGAAGGCGCCGCCCACGGCCGCGCAGCCGTAGCCCTCCGGCTCCTCGGGCCACGTGGCGGCGAGGACGATGCCGCAGACGAAGAGCCCCGCGCCCCAGGTCACCGTGAGGCGGCCGATGTGGGCCCGCCGCCGGTGGCTCCGCCCGAAGAACCCGCAGGAGAAGACGAGGCCCAGGGTCAAAGAGGCGAAGATGAGGAAGGTGTTCATGAGCGAGTAGAGGGCGACGGATTCCTCGTACTGATGACAGACCACGAGGGCTTTGACGCTCCCGTCGTCCCCCTCATCGATCGGCTCCATGATGCGGCAGCCGACTCCGAGGGAAACGTTTTGGGTGCACGCTTCCGTGCCGCGCGCCGCGCGGTCGTCGAAGCGCCCGAAGGCGCCCAGCACAAGCCAGAGAGAGCACAAAGCCATGACCAAGTTCGCGCCCGTCCAGGGCCTGCCCGTGGCCGTCCAGGCCGAAGCCATGCCGACGGCGCCCGTCGCGGCCGTCCTCGAGGTCGTCGCCATGTCGCGGCCGCCGGCCGACGAGCAGCTGCGGCGCCTCGGCGCCATGGGCCTGCCGCCCGGCATCTGCGAGGGCTTCGTGGAGTCGGGCGACCAGTTCGGCGCGCGCTTCTGGATCGTGGACAACTCCGGGAGCATGCAGACGCAGGACGGCAAGCGCCTCGCGGGCGGCGGCCAGCGCCGGGGGCTCGTCACCGCGAGCCGCTGGGAGGAGCTCGGCGACGCCCTGACCTTCCACGGCGGCGTCGCCTCCGCCCTCGGCGTGCCCACGGAGTTCCTGCTGCTCAACCAGCCCGCGGGCGCCCTGAAGCGCGTCGTCTGCGGCGTCGGCGACGGGGGCCGCGAGGCCGCGGCCGTCGCGGCCGTCGTCGCGAGCGCGCCGACTGGGCGCACGCCGCTGTGCCGGGCCATCGGCGAGGTCGTCGGCGAGGTCCGCGCCTGCGCGCCGGCCCTCGCCGCCCGGGGCCAGCGGGCGCTCGTCGTCATCGCGTCGGACGGCGAGGCGTCCGACGGCGACGTCCTCCGCGCGCTCGCGCCGTTGCGGGATTTGCCCGTGTGGGTCGTCGTGCGCCTCTGCACGGACGACGACCGCGTCGTCAAGTACTGGAACGACGTCGACGAGGAGATCGAGCTCGAGATGGACGTGCTCGACGATCTCGTCGGCGAGGCGGACGAGGTCACGGACCACCAGCCCTGGCTCACCTACGGGTCCGAGCTCCACCGCCTCCGCGAGTGGGGCTGCACGCGCCGCGTCGTCGACCTGCTCGACGAGAAGCCCCTGAGCCTCGGCGAGGTGCCCAAGCTCGCGGCGCTCGTCCTGGGCCCCGCGGCGGCGGACCTGCCGCACCCGGAGCTCGACTGGAAGGGGTTCCTCCAGGGCATCGAGGCGGCGCAGCAGGGCCTCTACACCTGGGACCCGAAACGCCGCGCCATGAAGCCCTGGTTCGACGTCCGCAAGATGCACAAGGTCTACAAGGGCGGCGGCTGCGTTGTCATGTAAGGTCCTTTTCCCGTCGCGGCGACTTCCTTCAAGTTCCTAAACTACGAGTATGTTGTGTTGTTGACTCAGTCCCACATCTTGATTATCAAGTTGAGGAGCGCGGGGTAATGAATTCACTCGCCGGTGCCCATGCGACGTCCCCGGGCTACTCACGCTCTTAGCTCCGTTCCAACGGGCTGGGGTCCCTCGGGGCACCGGGTGGGGGGCTTCGGGGGGGCTCCGAACAGCGCGGCGGCGGCGGCGCGCGGTTTTCGGGGCGCGGCCTCGTCCGCCTCGACTCCTTCATCTTGCAGCCCGGTCCCACGACGGCGACCTCGCACGCCTGCCGACCTTACTTGCGCGCCTTCTTCTTCCGGGGCCCGTCGGCGCCGAGGTAGGGCTTCGGGTTCGGTTTGGAGCTCTTGCGCTTCTTGGGCGCGGCGTCGTCGGCCTTGGCGGCCCTGGGCTTCGCGGCCTTGCGCTTGACGACGGTCTCGAGGCCCTTCTTGTCCAGCGCGGGCTTCACGGAGATGCGCAGGTCGCCGACGGCCGTGCGGTCCAGCGCGAGCGCCGCCGGCACGTGCGCCGCGTCCGAGAGTTCGACGAACGCCGCGCCGCTCCTCGCGTCCGCGCCGCCGACGATGCGGATGCGCGCCACGGCGTCGGCGCCGACGGCGTCGTCGAAGACCGTGCGCAGGTCCTTCTTCTCGAACTCGCCGTGGAACGCGCGCACGTAGACCGTCGGCGGTAAATTCGACGAGCCCTCGCGGACCTCGGCCTTCTTCGCCTTGAGCCGGTCGCGCTGCTTCTTCCGCCGCGCGAGCTTCTTCTCGCGCTTTTCCTCCTCCGTGAGCGGCCGCGTCCCGCCGCTCGGCGCCGGCGCGGGCGCGGCGGCCCCGTCGGCCCCGTCGCTCGCGTCGGGCTCGTCGGCCTCGCCCTTGCCGAGGAAGCGGCGCGCCGCGCGCGCGAGCGCGGCCGACGAGTCCGACGCGACGCTCACGTCGTCGTCGCCGTCGTCGCCGACGAAGGCGTTGATGGCGCGCTCGTCCTCGGGCAGCAGCGCGTCCTCGTCGACGACGCCGTCGTCGGCCGCGGAGGCGTCGTCGGCGTCCTCCGCCGCTTCGGCGTCGTCCTCTGCCGCGGCGTCCTCCGCCGCCTCTTCGTCTTCCTCGTCTTCCTCGACGAGGTCCTCGTCCACCTCGTCGAATGCGCCGAGGGCCTTCTCAAGCGCTTCCTCTTCCTCTTTGGAGAGGGACATCGTGTGTAATCGATCGCTGAGTTGAAGCGTCGATGCCGTCAAAACTGGCGTTAGTCGTCGTCGTCGACGCGCGTGAAGTACGTGTGGATGGTGATGACGTCCGGCGGGTGCTTGAGGCAGAGCTCGTTGACGACGTGGTACGTGTCGCCGCCGTCCTCGAGCGTCCGCGTGATCGTCGACACGTTGCCCGTCTTCTGGTAGTGCATCACCGTGACGACGGCCGGCGCGGGCGGGAGCCGCGGCGACGCCCCGTCCTCGGGCGCCGGGTCGTCGTCGCCGCGGGGCCGCGGCGGCGCCGCGGCGGGCCGGCCGCCCACGGCGGACCAGATGGACACGACGGACCGGTCCACGGGGTTCGTGTCCTTCTGCTCCGAGCCGTCGAGGCAGAGCGTCTGCGTCTTCGTCACGACGGCCGTCGTCGTCGCCTCGACCCAGGCGCGGCCCTCGTGGGCGATCTTCTTCGCGTTCTTGGACTTGGCGATGGCCACGCGCGCGGCCCAGGGCACGCCGAGCGCCTTCATCTGGTCGAGCGGCGAATCGGACCGGGCCTTGTCCTTCTCCCAGGCGCCCGTGAAGCCGCGGGGCTTCACGCCCGCGCGCTTCCGCCGCGGCCTCCCGCCGCCGGGCCGCCGCGGCCGCCGCGGGCGGCGCGGCGCCGCCGCGGCGCCGTCGGCCGACGACCGCGACGACGTGTCGCCGAGCTCGGCGAACGACGCGTCCGTGTCGTCGCCGCCGTCGTCGCCGCCGCTTTCGGCCGCGGCGGGCGCCGCGCGCGGCGCGCTCGGGCGCCGGCGCCAGCGCGCGACGCGCCGCCGCCACCGCCGCCGGCTCAGGAGCGACGCCGCGAACTCGGAGCACCGCCGCCGCGCCGCGGACTCGCCGACGACGGCGTCGCGCAGCTTGTCGTCGGCGAGGATCAGCGCCGCGCAGAGCGGCAGCGCGTAGAGGGACCGCAGGGCGACGGCCGCCGCGAAGGCGACGAGCAGCGCGCGGCCGAGCGCGACGGCCGCGCCCGGCGACAGCGGCGCGGCGCCGTCGTCGTCGCTGTCCGACGACGCGCTGCCGTCGCTGTCCGAGAAGCGGTCGGCCGCCGCGAGCCGCGCGACGGAGCGCAGGTCCGCGCGGGTCGGCGACGGCGGCGGCCGCCGCTTGAGGCTGTAGTAGTCGTCGTCGGCGGCGATGAGCGCCTGGCTGATGAGCGTGCGCGGCGGCGGCGAGGCGTCGCTGGGCGGGAGCGGCACGACCGGCGGCGCCGACGCCGGCGCCGGCGGCGGGGTCGACCGCCGCGGCGGCGCGCACGGCGGCGTGCGCGGCGCGCGGGTGACTGAGGCCATCGGCCACGACTGGCTGTTGTGGCAATTGGCTGTAGTTGACGGCATTGGAGCCGCGGCACAAGTGATCTACCGCGAACAACCTCGCCGAGGCTCCGAAGCTCGACCAGCATGTCGGAGTTGAGATTGTCGCCATCTGGGCCGACGCGTGCTTCTGGAGATTCCACCCGGACGTCGTCGTCAAGATGGGCCTCGTCGCCGCCTGGACTTGCCCTTTGTGGAGCATCGACCTCCGCGCCTCGCGACTGCCTAAGTAATTCACAGGGACGGCGACGCCTCCGGAGGCCTGTCGAGGCGTCGAGCCGCCCGACCCCCGGCTCTGTGAGTCACACTTGACGATCTTCAGAAGCATGGCTTCGCACCGCCTCTCGACGCTGCACCTCGTGGTCGCATTGGCCGCACCGGCCGTCGCGTTCCAGGCGCCGCGCTGCGCAGCGCCGCAGCTCCTGCGCCAGCACCTCTTCGGCAACAAGAACAAGCCGGGCGACGACGGCAAGTACGAGTCCCTCGCCGTCGACGTCGCCGCCTACGAGGCGCTGGAGGAGCCGCTCGTCGCCGTCGGCGAGAGCGACGGACGGGGCCGCGGGGTGTTTGCGGTGAACGACATCGCCGCGGGCACGACGATCACGGAGTACGTCGGCATGCTCGCCGCGACGCCCGAGACGCGGACCGACGACTTGGCGCTGTACCAGACCTACTACGGCAAGGACTGGCGCCTCTACAGCCAGCGCTACGAGATCGGCCTCACGGGCACCAGGGTCGCCGACGCCGGCGGCCTCGCGCGCGGCGGCGCCGTCGCGCCGGGCACGGAGGCCGCCGTGCTGACCTGCGACGTCGACGAGGATTTGACGTCCTGCGTGACGCGCGCGGGCGAGGGCCAGTTCATCCTGCTGGGCAAGGTCAAGGACGTGGACCCCAAGGGCGGCGTCGCCCAGCTCATCAACGACCACAGCGCGGTCCGCGCGGTCTCCAAGGCGCCCGAGACCGCGGGCGACGGCAAGCTCCGGGCCTCGGACGTCGACGGCCTCATCCTCAAGGACCCGGCCTGGCCCTACGAGCCCGTCGCCGTCGACGGCGCGGCGCTGCGCGTCGCCGTCGGCGACTACATCGACGCCATCGTGCCGGGCACGAACGCGGCGCTCGTGCAGGCGCGCACGGGCCTGGGCACGGGCATCGCCGCGCCGCGCGTCTTCGCGGTCGCGACGAGGGACGTCAAGGCCGGCGACGAGCTCTTCCTGACCTACGGCGCCGAGTGGTGGCTCGCCCAGCTGCGGCGCGCGGCCCTCGCGCAGCTCGTGTCCTGCGACCCGCCGCCGGAGCGCGCCGCGGCGCTCGAGCAGATGATCCGCGCGATCGAGTACGTGTCCTGCGAGGCCGTCGCGCCCCAGGTCGCCGCCGTCCGCGAGGCGGGCTGCATGCCGTCGGCCTTCGTCACGCCCCTCGAGGCCCTCGCGCCCCTCGACGACCTCCTCGGCGAGGGCTGGAAGGAGGCGATCCTCCGCGAGGAGTTCTCCCTCGCGACGGAGTGCAGCGTCGAGGACCTCTACGCGACGACCTTCAAGTGAGCGCGGCCTAAGTCTAAAGCGCCCCCCGCCCGAAGAACGACGACGGCGCGCCGTTGAAGTCTGCGCGCCGCTTGACACCTCGGCCAAAACACGCGTAAAAAACGCGCAAAAAACGCCAACGCGCGGTACATGACCGTCACCTGCGACACGTCCCAGTCGCCGATGTCCGCGTTGAAGGCGGTGGCGTCCGTGAACGTGGAGCTCATGTCCGTCACCAACGACGTGTCCCAGGCGCCGATGGCCTCGTTGAATGTGTCGTCCGTGTTGCACGCGCCGTCAACTTACGGTGGGCTTTCCGTCACGGGGCGCGCGCGCGCGGCGGCGAAGGACGACGGGCGCCTCAGGCCGCGCTCCGGAGCGCCTTGGCGAAGGCCGCGCCGAGCGCGTCGGGCGCGACGTTCGCGTCGTGCGGCACCTGCAGCTCGCCGAGGGCCTTGCGGCCGAGCTCGACGGACATGGTCTCGTCCGTGGACGCGTTGACGGCGACGACGACGGCGCGCTTGGCCTGCGGGTGGATGCGGAGCGTGAGCAGGTAGTGGACGTCGCCGTCGGCCGTCGCGACCTTCCGCGACGCGCGGCCGCGGAGCGCCCACGCGCTCAGGTCCGGCGCGGGCGTGCGGACCTTGCGCGCCGGCGAGCCCGCGGCGCCGCCCTTGGCGGCATTTCGCGCCCCGTTCGGGGGCGCGGGCTTCTTCTTGACGGAGGCCCTCGGCTTCGGCAAGGCGGTATCGGCCGTCAGCGCGGAGACGTCGTCGAGGGGCCCGTCGAGGAGCGGCGCCGGCAGCGCGCCCGCCTGGATGAAGTGCGCCACGCCCGGCACCGCGAGAAACCCCGTCTTGTCCGGGTCGAGGAGCGCGGCGAGCGACGTCGCGTCGTCTTCCCCCAGATCCGCGAAGGAGATCTTCAGGTCCCGGCGCAGGAGCGCCTTGAACTCGCCCGCGGACAGCGCGCCGCGGCCGGCGTCGAAGCGCTGGAGGAACTCCAGGGGCCCCACGCCGTTGCAGGCCTGCTTGAGCCGCCCGCGGACGCGTTTCAGCGTCGGCTCGTCGAGGTGGTGCTTCGGCGGCGGCCCCGCGCGGCTGGTCCGCGCGGGCTTGCCGAACTTGGCCGAGGCGCGGCTGTAGGCGCCGGCCGTCTTCTCCGTGGCGGCGCTGGCGTCGTCGCGGGGCGACCCGGGCGCGCCCTTCTTCTTGAGCCTGCGTCCCGCGGCGGGCCGGCCCCGGGCGAGCGAGCTCCGCGCGCCCTCGGGCGGCGCGGGCACGACGGGCGCCCGGAGCGGCGGCTCCGCCGTCGACCCCTCGTCGCCGTGGGTGACGCGCTGGAAGCCCGCGCCCTTCATGACGATCGTCTTCTGCCTCGGCTTGTCCGACGCGAGCATCGTGCCGTAGAGGCCGTTCTCGACGAAGTCGCTCAGTTCGGACACGGCCACCGTGCCGCTCTTGTGCTCGTCCATGAGCGCGGCGAAGAGCGAGATCTCCATGTCCGACACGACGACGGCGGAGATCTTGCAGTCGCGGCGGACGATTTTGGCGATCGTCGGCACGTCGAGCACGCCCGACCCGTCGCGGTCGTAGCGCCGCAGGAACTCGCCGGGCGTCGTCCCGACGCACTGGGCGCGCAGCGCCAGCTGGAGCTTCGTCGCCGTCGAGTCGGCCAGCGTCACCGTGGGCACGTAGGCCGCCTTGGCCTCGAAGAGCGCGCGCGCGGAGCCGCGGACGACGTCGTCGACGACGCGCGACGCGACCGTCGCCGCGAGGTCCGCGAGCGCGCCGCGCGCCGCGGCCTTGGCCAGCGCGCCGCGCACGGCGGCGACGGGGCGGGCCAGCACGATGGCGGCGATGGCGCCGGACGCGTCGCGCCGCGTCTCGTAGCACTTGACGAGCGTCGACAGCAGCTCCGCGCGCCGCGCCTCGAAGGCCGCCTCGTCGCGGGGCCGCAGGGACCGGTGGGCGACGAGGTCCTCGCGTAAGACTTCCAGCCAGTCCGACGCCTCTTCGACGGTGACGGCCGCGGATATCGTCACGGCGTCCTCGGGCACGTAGAATTCCACGGTCCACGCGTCCCGGAGCTCGAAATCCTCCGTCTGCTTCAATGACGCGACGATGTACTTGTCCTGGACCTTGAGCGCCTCGCGCACGAGGACCGCGGCCTCGCCGGGCCGCGCGCCGCGCGCGAACGCGCCCGCCGCGGCGACCTTGGGCACGAAGCTCAGGAGCCGCGGGCCCGCCGCCTGCGACGCGCGCGGCGCGGGCGCGGGCTCGCGGCCGCTCAGGGGCACGGGCCGCGACAGGATCGCCGCCCGGTCGCGGTCCGGCGCCCGCGCGGACAGGCTCCCGAGGCTCGCGCCGTTGCCCGCGGAGCCGCCCGCCTCCGTGACGACGGACATCCTCGAAAGCGCGGACCGGCTGTCGATGGCCCCGAGCTTGGACAGGGGCAGCTTGGGCAGGAAGTGGGGCTGGAAGTTGCAGGGGCGCATGTCCTCCTTGGCGTAGGCGGACCGCGACGCGCACAGACGGCGGATGATCGCGCGGTTCTCGGCCTGGATCCGGACCTGGGCAGGACAAGAGTGCGAAATTCCCAACTTCAAAGGCTCCTAGCTCGGCCGGTTTCCACTCGTTTCGGCTGATTTTTGGACGAGCGATCATCTCTCGGAACGGTCTCGAAGCTTGGATGCTATTTCCAGAACGCGCGCGCGCGGAACACTCACGTTGAAGCGACGTTGAATCACCCTTGTCCTGCCCTGATCCGGGCCTCGCGCGCGCGGCGCACGCGGTAGTTGAGCGACGCGGGCCGGTAGCCGCCCTTCTTCGTCCCGGGGGCGACGAGGGGCCGGTACTTGCCGTCGCCGGACATGATCTCGCGCATGCGCCGCACGAGGATGTGGTTGCTCCGCTCGATCTCCTGCCACCGGTCCTCGACGAGCTTTTCTTGTTTGAGGTTCCGCCGCATGTGGGCGAGCGCCATGGACGCCGGCGGCGACGTGTCGATCTGGCTTTGCATGGAGTGGATCTTCTGCTTGTGCAGCGCCATGGACCGCCGGTCCTCGACGCGCCGCACGGACGCCGCCATGCTCGGCGGCGCTGCGCCGCGAGCGCGCGCGTGGCCCGGCGGCTTCTCTTCTGGGCCGCGCGGTCCCGCGGCGAGGGTCTGCGGCGGCGGAGATGCGCACGGCCGGGTCCCACGCGGCGAGCGGCGGCGACTAGGTCCGCGGAGGCGCCATCACCAGGCTCTCGCGTCGTTTCGCTCGATGATACAAGCAGTTTCAGTCCGCTCAGCGGGGCTGCCGAGGCGGTGTTGACGCTGCACCATCTCGACCTTGCACTCGCTCTCAAAACACCGACGAGCGGCGCCTCACAAGCGCCTCGTGCCGATCGCGCCGCGGCGCCGCCGCACGCACCCGATGCTCCGCGACCTCTGCCTGGCGCAGATCAGCCTCACGCCGGCCCGGTGCCTGCGCGCCCGGGGCTCCGACGACACGCACGGCGCGCTCCTCCTCGCGAACCCCGAGACCGTGCCCTTCGTGCGCTGCGCGCCGGCCACGGGCGCGCCGGCGGCGGGCGCCAAGAGCGCCTGGGCGGACTGCTGGGCGGGCATCGAGCCGGCGACGGCCGGCGCCCGCGCGGGCGCCCGGCGGCCGGAGGCGCGGCCGCAGATCGCGCGATTCCTCGCGTCGCGCGGCGCCTTGGTCGACGGCGCGCTGCCCGCGCGCTTCTTCGAGGGCCTCCGCGTCGACGCGCTCTCGCTGGCCGCCTGCCGGGGCCGCGAGCCCTTTGCGCTCCTCGCGGCGGCGCAGGCGCGCCAGCCGGCGGGCGAGACGCTCGTCGCGCTCGACCTCGGCTCGTGCCTCCGGCTCGACGACGCGGTGCTCGAGGCGCTCCTGGGCGCCTGCGGCGCGACGCTCGAGCGCCTGTGCCTGCGGGACTCGCGCAAGCTCACGGACGCGGCCTTCGCGACGCTCGCGGCGGCCGCGCCGCGCCTCGTCGACGTCGACGTCGGCGGCAACTTCAACATGACCGCGGCGGCCGCGGCGGCCTACGTGCGCGCCGTCGCCGGCGACGCGGCGCCCCTGGCGGCCGTGGCGTCGCCGCCGCGGAAGCGCGCGCGCCGCGGCGAGGCCGAGGCGCCGGAGCCGGAGCCCGTCGTCGAGGGCCGGCTCCTCGGTTTGGCCGCGTCGGGGCTCAAGGTCAACGACGCGCTCCTCGCGGCCCTCGCGGGCTCGGCGCCGAACCTGCGGCGCCTCGGCTGCGGCTTCGGCTACTTCTCGAGCGCGGGCTTCGCGTCCGCGGTCGCGGGGCTCCGCCACCTCGTCGACGTCCGCGTCCAGTGGTCGAAGCGCTTCGAGGACGACGCGCTCGACGCGCTCGCGGCCCACTGCGACTCCCTCCGGGCCCTCGACGCCCTCGGCACGCCCGTCACCGTCGACGCCGCCGACCGCTTCCTCCGCGCCAAGGTCCACGACGACGCGCTCGGCCGCCGGCCGGACCGGCGGCTCGAGTACCTCAACGTCCGCTACACCGCGGGGCCCAAGGCCCAGCTCGACGCGCTCCCCGAAAACTGGAAGTACGCCGCCGTCACCGTCGTCGTCGGGGCTTAACCAGGGGCTGAAACTAGGACTTAGAAGAGGGGCTGGCGCTTCTGGTCCTCGCGGAGGCGCACGAGCGCGGGGATGATCTCGTCGGTCATCGCCGGCTCCCCGCCCTTTAGAAACTCAATTTCGAACAGCGCAGAACAATGATCGATGCTGTCGCGAGTGATCAAAGGGTGCCCGTCCACATCCAATCTTCTGTCCACACCGAACGGCGAGAGCCAGACTTGCACGACCGGATCGAACGGGAGCGAACGAGGGCCGTATCGTAGATCGCACCCCGCCTGAAACTTGGCGCCGCGGCGCAACCGAGCGTCGCTCAGTCCAGCGGAACTACTGAAATCGGCGTGACGGAGCCAGTGTTCGTTCACGTCAGTGCGGAACACCAGCCATTCTTCATCGTTGAAAAACGATTCGAACTCGTTGAGAAGGACGATCGGCGGCCCTTCGTCGTCCACGACAAAGGAGAATATGACCCTCGCAGATACGGGACACGTCAAATCATTGCTGTCCAAATCATTTCTCCTGGCTTCCGCACTCGCGGCAGCCAATGTCTCGACGGGTTGGATCCCATATCGGCTAACCGCTTGAACCTCATAATGAGCTGAGAGTGCGGTTTCTTCGTTGACCGGCTTTCCACAAAGCGTGACGATGTTTCCTTCGTTGTCGAGCTTGAACCACCATGCGTGGGAAGACACATTCTGATATTCTCCCGTAAACACGTCGAGGAGGAACGTGATAGACTTCGGCGTCTCGACGCCGCGGCGAAACGCATCCGGAATCGGCGCCGAGCGCGCGCGCCATGTGTCGTCATTGAGGCGCAGACGAGAGAGAAACCCGTTCCGACCCCGCGGTGTCAGATTCTCAGGTACAAATCCGAGGCTCGGAACTAGAAGGCGCGTCAATGACTCCCAAAGAGCGGAATGATCGAGGACCTTTTGACGCAGTTCGCGATCGAGCCCGCTGAGTGCGAACACATCTGTGAAATGGAGCATGTTAGGATCATGCTGAATCAACAGCTCGAGCACGAGCGCCGCTCGCGTCGACGACGTCCGGGCCCTGCTCATGCCTGCGATCGACTGTGGCGAGTCCTCTCGGAGGGAAATCGCCTCGACGCGTCTCTAAACGGGGGGACGGGAGGCTCAGAGCGGTCTCACCGGAGGCGCCAGTGGACGGCGGCGTCCTGGCGCAAGCACCACCTTGTGGCAGATCCACAAATCGCTTGCCGCTCACAGCCGCTTCGGCGTCACTGCCGGCTTCGGCCAGCGCGTATGGGCTCGTTCTCGGCCGAAATCGCATCGTTTTGAGCGCGGCTTGGCTCTACGGGTTCGCACGAGACCCTGTCCGAATGCTGCAACGCGCAGTCTCATTGCGCGCGCTCGTCCGCGAGAACGAGGCGGTCGGATTTGCGTCTTTTTCGGCCTCAACTCGCCGCGATGCGCTCCCATTTTGCACGATCGACGATCAGGTGTGGGTTGAGGCGCTTCGGAGTCCACTAGTGGGGTCCCCTCGAGGTGCCAAACTTCTCTGACACCCCGGACGACGATTCCGACGGAGCTATCACTCGCTCGGGATTGTCGGTGAAACGCGACGCCGGCGACCAAGTGCTCGTTGGTCGATACGGTGCTCGCGAGGCGCGCCGACTGCTTCGCGGCGTTCGCACAGACGGGCAACGGCTCTCTGCAGCGTGGATTCCGCTGTGGGCACCGAGAACGCCTCTGTGACGTCTTCCGAGATCTCGGCGCCGCACAAGATCTCGACCACGGCTCGCAGCAACGATCCACGTCCTGCAACCCGTGACGGTCTCAGCGAATGCTTCGGTTGATGTGCCGACCCCGTGCGACCCGTTGATCACCTTCGTCGACGTCGTTTCCGCAGCGGACGGCGTGGCCAAATTGTCGCCCAGACCAGTAGCCGTCCAGCCACCGCCAGGACGACTCGCATCGGGTGATTTTGCTGACCGTGGCCAGCGCTGCGCGCCGCTTCTCGCCCGCGAAGGGGCCGTAAAACACTTAAACATCCCATCGCGCGCTTTTGAGCACCGGTGGCGACGGCTAGGGGTAGAGGCCCGCAGGACACGAGGCTGTGGTTCGCGGTCGCGGCGACAGGTTCAGTCCTGCGAGCCGTAGAGCGGTCGCAATCGGGCGAGTGTGTCCCGTGGAGGAAGCTGGAGCGCGCCCGAGCTCCATTCGCAGCGCCATCTCGTGCGCTGGGCGTCAAAGGCGTGCATGCGGATTTGCTGCCCTGCGAGTAGAAGCTGTGCTAGTGGCCGATGACGGGTGTCGCAGCAGCTGGAATCGTTCCGAGGCATTGGGCGACGTCCGACGTGCGTCTACAAACACTCGTGGAGCGTCTTCGCGGCGAAGTGTGCGCGCAGGCGAAGTCGTAGCGAATCTCGCGCCTGGCGCCGCCGAGCGGCTTTCCGCACCCCCGAACCCGTGCGACGTGCCCGACGTCGCGACGCTTCGTCAGAGGCACCGTCTAGGACCTCTTCGCGCGTCCTGAGCTTCCTGGAGCTGCCGCTGCCGCGGCGCCGGCGGGACCGCGCCGCAAGCACCGCCACAGGAGGAGTGCGTCGATTCCGACCGTTCGCGTGCGCCGCCCCCGACAGCGTTTCACGGACGGATTTTTGCGTCGGGCGGCCTCTCTATGACCATGCGAGGCTAGGCGCGGGGCAAGGGCTACAGGGTCGGCGGCCAGGCCGCGAACGACGCGCCAAGCCGAGCTCGCGGATCTAGGTCCAAATCAGCCCCAGATCCGCGAGGATTGGCCGGGGCTGAAGCGAGGGTGAGCGGCAAGCAAATCGCTGAACAGAAATGCTGAAGTCGCTCGGGCGCCTCGAGATCCTTCTAAGGTAGCTAGGCCCCTTAGAACAGGACCTTCTCCTCGATGTGGTGGGGGTCCTCCTCCTTCACCTCCTCGTCGACGGCGGCGCGTGTCGCCCTCCGCCGGCGCCAGGGCCGCCAGGGCTTCGCGCGCGGCGCGGCGTCGCCGCCGAGGCCCGCGGGGACGCTCGGGTTGTCGCCGCGGTAGAGCTCGGAGCGCTTGTCGCGGCCGCCGGGCCAGGTCCGGTGCGCGTCGTCGCCGTCCGTCGTCGTCGCGAGGCACTCGAGCGCCAGGTCCCGCCACGCGTCGCAGAGGCGGATGCGGATCCCGAGCTCGAGGCAGTCGCCGCGCAGGATCTCCGTGCAGCGCTGGACGAGGGGCAGCCACTGGCACTGGATCGCGCGCTTCGGCTTGAACTCCGGCCGCTGGAGCGTCTTGATGAGCGGCTCGCCGGGGAAGACGGGCGAGAAGTCGAAGTGCGACAGCGCGAAGACCGCGACGGCCGCGTAGACGCGCGCCTGTGTGGATTCCAAATCTTCAACCCGACTTCAATGTGCGCGTAATCGAATGGTTTGGACCAGATTCTTTCGCTGTACTTCGAGAACTTGACGAGAGCAATCGATTCGTCCAAAAAACAGCCAAATCGACTTCGATTTGACCGAGATAGAGAGTTCTGAAGTTTGGTGGGGACCCCCCAAACCAGTGGGTGGAATCCACACTGACGCGCGCGTCGAAGGTCCGCAGCTCCAGGCCCGTGATCCGCGCGTAGAGGGTGCCGAGCGCGTCCGCGTCGCCCGCGCCGATGGCGAGCAGCGCGAGCGCGACGTCGCGCCGCTCGCCGTCCGCGAGCCGGTAGACGCAGCCCATGTCGATGAGGCCGAGCTCGTTGTTCTCGCGGACGAGGACGTTGCCCGGGTGCGGGTCCGCGGAGAAGATGCCGTCGAGGAGGATGCAGCGGCCCACGGCGTAGACCAGGCGGTCGACGACGAGCCGCGCGTCGAAGGCCGCGGCCGCCGCGGGCGAGGAGGCCGACCAGGGCGACCAGCGGCGGATTTTCGCCGCGAGGCGCACGCGCTGCATGGCGAGGAACGCCTTCAGCAAGGGCAGGAAGTCGCCGCCGCGGTCCGCGGCGTAGGCCAGCCAGTCCGCCAGGCGCCGGAGCGCGCCCGCCGCGGGCGGCGGCGCCGCGGCCTCGTCGCCGTCGCTCGCCCCGTCGTCGTCGCGTCCGTCGTCGAGGCCGGACCGGATCTCGTCGATGACCTTGCGCTGCGCGTCCCGAAAGGTGCGTTCGAGGTCGTCGGGCGAGCAGCCGACGACCGCGGCGATGGCCTCGCGCTCCTCGCGCACGCAGGCCGCGAGCGGCCGGCCCGGCACGAGCTCCATGACGAGCACGCCGCCCGCGACGAGGTTCTCGATGGGCGCGGGCACGAGGCAGCGGCCCGCGCGCGCGCGCGCGCGCTCCGGCCAGGCCTCGACGGCAGGTCCCGCAAATTCTTCGCCTCGTCGGCGAAATCGAGCTCGCGCGTGAACGTCTGCGTCGCCTCGTCGATCCACTTCTTCTCGATGACGAAGCCCTGGGTCCGCGCGACGAGGCGCAGCACGCGCGTGAAGCAGGCGACGTCGGTCTTGAAGTTCCGCCGCACCTCGGGGTACTGGACCTACCGAGCGCGGCGGTCACGATGTTTCATCCAGCCAAAATCTCTCGAAAGTCGTCCCGGCCACGGGACGCTGGACTGGACCTTGATCGCGGCCTTCCGGCCGTCGGCGAGGATGGCCTCGTGGACCTGGCCGACGGACGCCGCGCCGAGGCATTTCGACCACTCGACGCGCTTGATGCCCAGCGCCGCGAGGCTCGTCGCTTTCGTGCCGTTCGATAAATTTTTCAGGATGAGCGGCTCGATGACGTCGCGGCCCCGCGGCGCGACGCCGTCCTTGAGCGGGGCCAAGGCATCGACATAAGGCAACGGCGTCATGGGGAACGCGGGCAGGTGCTGGCCGACCTTGATGTACAAGCCGCCGAGCTTCACGAAGGAGTCGCGCAGGTGCGGCGCCCACTTCTCCGCCAGCCGGTGCGACGCCTTGGCGCGCACCTCGTTGATGGCCCGCGTCCACTCCCGGCCGACGCGCCGGCCGTCGGCCGCGGCGCCCGGGCCGCGGCGGAAGCCCGCGCGCATGCGCCCGCGCAGCGACTTGACGTCGGCCTCGAGGCCCTCGTCGCCGCCGCCGTGCTGCGCCTTCTCGAGCTCCTTTTCCAGCTGCGTGTCGAGCGCGTTGATCTTCGTGAGGAACCTCGCATAATCGATGACCAGAGGTGCGGCGAGGCGCCAGAAGAACGCCGAGCGCCGCAAACCGACGAAGAAGTCGTAGGTGCCGGACCGCTTCTTCTCGCCGCCGCCCACTTCTCGCTTCTTCTCGCCGCCGCCCATGGCTCCGGCACCGCTACGGCATCGACAACGTCGCGCCTGACGGGGAGAGCAGCCCCGGAGAGCGCGACGAAACGGCAGGGCAAGCAAACTAGGTGCCATGGCTTGCACGTCACCGTGCCTTTTGCAAACGCCGTCGGCACCGTCTGGGCGTACCGTCCGCGCTGCCCGCCGGGGCAGCGTCCGACCGGCGGCCGCCATGGACTTCGAGGCGGGGCTCGCGATGGACAAGGAGGCCGGCGGCTACCTCGAGACGGACGAGGAGCTCGCGGCGGACGAGGACCCCCTGCGCGACATCAAGGCGGCCTGGGTGCTCAGCGGCGAGAAGATCGAGGACTTTACGATCTTGAAATTCAACAAGAAGCTGCGGCTCCAGGAGAAGCAGGACTTCGTGCTCAACTTCCTCAAGGGCGAGAACGACTACGAGGAGAAGATGGACGTGCTCAACCGCATGAAGCGGAAGCAGGTGCGGGCGAAGAAGCTCGCGGAGACGTCCATGGCCGTGGGCAAGACCGTGGGCAAGGAGCTATTAACCCTGGGCAAGGGCGCGGCGCTCCTCGTGGAGCCGCGCTTCGCCCGGCGCGCGCGGAGGCGGCGGGACCACCTGAGGCGCATCGCGGACCACGAGGCGCGCGCCGTGAAGATCAACGAGGAGCGGCTCAAGATCGAGAGCGACCGCGCGAACCTCGCGGCGAAGAAGCGGGAGCAGGGGCGCCAGCGGAGCCTGCTGCTGGACCACATGAAGCCCACGGAGGACCTGAAGATGGCCCTCGACAAGGTCGCGGCGACGCGGAAGCGCGAGCTCGACCTCATGGCGTTCCGCGCGCGGCGCGCGCGCGACGTCAACGAGCGCATGGCCAAGGAGCAGGCGAAGCACGACGCCGCGGAGGCCGAGGCGAACGCCGTGAACTCGCACCGGCGGCGCTGGCGCGCGGCCCACTACGAGGCCGTCGCCGAGTCCGCGCGCAAGGAGGCGCGCGACCGCCGCGACGCGCAGGACGCGTCCTTCGAGAGCCGCGACGCCCAGCTCGCGGCGCGCCTGGCCCAGGAGGCGGCGGACCGCCACCGGGGCGGCGCCTTCGAGCAGGTCAAGGGGCCCGACGTCACCGCGACGGCCGAGTTCCCGAGCGGCGAGGCGCTCGGCATCTACGGGTCCGGCGGCGTCGTCGTGCCCGTGCCCGACGGCGGCACGGGCGAGCCCGGCGCCGTCACCGACGGGTCGTCGGCCGCGGACCACGCGCGCGTGAAGATCTTCACGGGCACGCCGACGCCGGACCACGAGGAGAAGTGGGAGGCGCTCGGCGACCTCGAGGGCGACCGCGGCCGCGCGGAGACTTTAGCCGAGGGCCACGAGCGCGAGGCCGCGGCGCTGGAGGAGGCGGCGACGAACCTCGACGCCCAGCGGAGCCGCCTCGCGACGGAAAAAGCCCAGCTGCGGGCGGAGCACGAGGTGCTGCTCGCTAGGATCGCGGGGCCGCCGCGCCGCGAGGCGAACGAGGACGAGAAGCAGGCGACGCACCGGCGCATGACGCGCGTGGCGAGCCTGCGGGCGCGCGAGGCCCAGCTCGAGCACGACGCCGCCGTCGCGCGGGCGCGGGGCGAGGAGCGCGCGCGCGCGGGCTCGGACGCGCGCGCGCGCGCCGCGGCGCTCGCCGAGGTCTGCGCGGCGAAGCGGTCCAAGCTCGAGGCGCACCTCGACGGCGTCGGCGAGCCGCCCATGATCGTGGGCCGGTCCCTGGACAAGGTCGCGAGCCTGGGGCTGAACCCGCTCCAGGCCGCGCCCGCGGAGGCGTTCCGCGCGCTGACGCGCCACACGAAGCTCGAGCTCGCGCGCGACGCGTCCCGGGACATCCTGGCGTCGCGCGTCGAGGCCCAGCGCCTCGAGCGCGCCGTCTGGGCCGCGGAGCAGGGCCAGGCGAACGAGCGGGCCCACCTCGACGACATGCTCGCGCGGCTCGGCGACATCGCGCGGCGCGTGAAGCAGGCGCGGTCCGAGGACAGCCGCCAGGATTTGGTGCAGGCCATGCAGCTCTGGTGGGCCCGGGGCGAGCGGCTCCAGACCGTGACCGTGCGCCACGAGGGCCCCATCGACTGGTGGGCCAAGCGCCACGGCAATTTGTGCTCCGACGTCGTCCAGTGGGCGAGCAACGACTTCGTCGACCGCGACGCCGAGGAGGAGAAGAAGACGCCCAAGGAGCAGCTCGAGCGCGACCCGAAACTGCAGGGCTTCGCCCACGGCGACCACACGGCGGGCGTGCTCGTCGGCGAGATGGCGCTGCCGAAGCTCGACTACTACACCGTCGAGCTCGTCGTCACGAAGCGGTTCCCGGACGCGAAGAACCTGGGCGACTGCACGGACCGGTGCACGGTGAAGCTGGGCCCGTCGACGCGCCACCTGACGACGGTCTGCGTCATCAGCAACGTGCGCGACGAGTACTCGGGCTCCGCGCGCTTCGAGGTGTCCCACGCGCTCCGCGCGGACCGCGTCGCGTGGCGCTTCGAGTTCATGTCGTCGACGGACAAGGCCGAGTCCCACTTCGTCGTCGAGCAGGGCGCCTTCGCGCCGCGGTCCATCGCGCCCCTCGAGTCCACGGACGGCTCGAACCGCGTCGTGTCGTCCTTCGTCAAGCAGCTGCGGCTCGAGTCGAACGCGGGGCAGGCGCGCTACGCGGACTGGCTCGCGGAGCTCATCCGGGCCGACGCGGCGCCGCCCGAGCCCGACGACGGCGCCGAGCGGCGCGCGCTCCTCGCCAAGGCGGCCAAGTTCGGCGAGGCGCCGCCGGGCTACTGGGACTCCGCGTGCCTCCACAGCACGCCCCAGCGCTTCCGCGTCGACACGTTCCGGACGCTCATCCGCGGCGAGCTCGAGGACATCGCTGCGAGCGAGCGCGCCAAGGAGCGGCGCGTCGGCGCGGCGCGCGACGCCGCGGGCAACACGCGCGGCGCCCAGGGCCGCGGCGCGCCCGCCTTCGAGATGCCCCTCGTCGGCAAGGCGCTGGAAGAAAAAAGGCGCGCCGAGGACCGCGCGCGCCGCGTGCGGAAATCCGGCGCCAAGTACCTGAAACGGAAGCGCCTGAGCCAGCAGCCCAAGATCGACGCCGCGGACAAGCTCGTGGGCGCGGCCCTCGAGATCTTCGACGAGGCCTCCCAGAAGTGGGAGCACACGCGCGTGTTACGGAACGACGTCGCGTGGTACGACAACGGCACCATGTGCCGCATCACCTACGGCGTCGTCACGGTAGACGACCTCGAGCGCGTCACGTCCACGGAGCGGTGGCTCGATCTCTCGAAGGTGCGGTCCTACGTGAGCCAACGAGTGGAGCCCGACCCGGAGACGCGGAAATTGTGGGAGGCGAACGAGGCCGCGTCCGCGTGCGCCAAGGCCAAGAAGCTCTTGGCTTTGATCGACATGGAGCGGCGGCGCAAGGTCCGCGAGGCGAAAGAAGTCGTCGACCAGCAGCGCTTCGAGGCCGCGCGCGACGACGCCATCCGGCGCAAGCGGGAGACGGGCTACGTCGAGTCCGCGTCCCTGTTACAGACCAAGGCCGTGAAGACGATCACGAAGAAATTGGCGAAGCAGGTCATCGAGGAGATGCGCGCGGGTCTGGTGGACTCCTGGAATCTGCGGCCCCCGACGGCCGGGCCGAAACTGCCCGGCGTCGGCGGCGCGCGGCCCCGGGAGAGACGAGGAGGCGTGGCGCGGACGCAGCGGGCGGAAGGCGTGGACATCATGAAGATCCACGGCGACCTCGACGACGACGAAACCGAAGAATCGAAGCTCGAGCGCGCGAAATCCATGGACATGGGCGACCCCGTGATCCCCATCCGCGCGCCCGGCCGCGTCGGCCGGGTGGTCCACGCGTACGAGACGTGGATGTGGAAGAAGCTGCGGAAGCAGGCGTTCCGCGAGGTCTCCGCGGAGCTCGAGTACGAGAAGGCGAAGCTGGAAGTGGATCTGGGCGTCCGGCCGGAAGGCCTGCTGCCCCAGCTCAAGGAGCGGCCCGGGTCGCGGCCCGTGACGCCCGGGAGTACGCGGCCGGGCACGGCGGACGCCGCGCGCGACCTCCGGCCCGCGCCCTACGTGCCCCTGTCCATGGAGGCCTTCAAGCGCAAGCAGAAACTGGCGCGGCTCCGGCGGGCGGCGCAGGCCGAGGCGGAGCAGCGCTGGATGGACGACTACGTCCGCGCGCTGGTGCGCACGGAGGAGAAGCAGTGGGTCTTCGCGGGCGAGCAACGGTTGAAAGACGTCGAGACGATGCGCAAGGCCGAGGAGGACCAGGTGAAGCGCCAGAAGAAGGAGGAGGCGCTACTGGAGAAGGCGCGCGAGAAGGAGCGCGCGCGGGAGCGGGCCGTGCGGCGCGTGGAGACGCGGAAGAAGATCGGGATGATTCCGAACTTCGAGCGCGCGGTGCCGACGGCCGTCTTCTGCGAGCACGTCCGCGCCAAGGCCTGGGGCGACCGCTACGGCAAGGGCGTGCGCTGCATGGACTGCGGCAAGGAGCTGACGCTGACCCACCTCGAGCCCGAGCAGCAAAGAGGTTTGGGCGGCGGCGACGACCCCGCGCTCTGCGCGCGCGTCGCGCGGCACCGCGAGGACCCCGCGGCGTACCGCGCGGAGACGGGCGACCGCGCGGCGGAGGTCGCGGCCATCGAGGCGGAGCGGCTGCGGCTGGAGAAGGAGCGGTTTCCTTTACGGCAGCAGGAGATCCACTTCTACGACCTCGACGACATGAAGCGCATCTACGAGATCGACCGGCGGCACAAGCGGCAGCTCAAGGAGTTCGGCGTGCAGCGCCAGGGCGTCCAGTGGACGCCCGACGAGGTCGAGGAGCGCGTGCTGAGCCTGGAGGCGGGCGACTACCTGCCGAAGAAGGCCGAGGACGAGGTGCCCGAGGAGCGGAAGAAGAGCGCGGACGACGAGGAGCAGGAGAAGCACGCGAACGCGCCGCGCGGCGACGACCTGAGCCCGCGCGCGCGGCGCCAGGCCAAGGTCGACGCCGACGCCTTCGCGCTGGGCGCCGCGCCGCCGACGCCGCGCGTCGAGGAGCTGCGGCGCCGCGCGGCGTTCGCGGACCTGCTCCAGGTCGTCGGCCGCATCAACAACTACCGCCAGCGCCTCAGCGAGCTCAAGGCCCAGCGCGTCGAGCTCGACGTCGAGCGCGAGCAGCTCAACGACGTGCTCCACTTCCTCCACCGCGAGATCTTCTCCTACGAGGTCCACCTAAAGCGCATCGAGAACGACCTCAGCGGCGCCGCGCGCGTGCTGAGCGTGCGGCGCCTCGCCAAGCAGCAGCACGACAACGCGGCGGAGGTGCTCAAGCAGGCCATCATCGACAAGAAGGAGAAGGACATCAAACTCGTGGGCCTCGCGGACGACGCGCGCGAGGCCGAGGACGTCGCGCGCGACCTCGGCGTCGCCGTGCGCGACCTCCTGCGCCAGCGCGTGCGCCAGGAGCGCCAGCTCGCCGCCGTCGACGAGCGCGCGGCCCAGTGCCGCGGCCGCGCCGACGGCGTCGCCGTGCAGCTCAACCAGGCCCAGGACCTGCTGGACTCGATGCACTACCGGCGCCGCGGCGTCGTCGTGCCGACGCCCTACGGCCACTGCCACGTGCTCCTCTTCCGCCCCGACGACCGCGTCGTCGTCGTCCAATTACCGTTTGGCGAGCCCCGGGCCCGCGCCTACGTGCCCCTCGACGCGATCATGCAGATGGAGCGGGCCATCGCCGCGTCGAACGTCGTGGCGATGCGCGACGAGGAGCGGCGGTCCCGCGACTTCTACGCCAAGGAGGCCAACGGCTGCGAGCTCGAAGGGCGGGCCATGCTCGACGACGAGACGCGGTTGCGGGCCAAGCTCGAGTTCGACTCGCAGGTCGACGCGGAGCGGCGCGCCGTCGCGGTGAAAGTCCGCGCGGCCGTGCGCAAGGGCCGCGCGTTCATCCTGTCCTTCAACGGCATCAACGAGATCGCGACGCGCACGTCGCGAGCCCTGGAGCGCGAGGCCCGCGAGCGCGAGATCGCCGCGCGGACCTGGACGGGCAAGGGCAAGCGGCCGCGGCCCATGGGGACGATGGACCGGTGGAAGTACCGCGCGGCGCGGAGCCGCGAGCTGCGCAAGGAGTTCCTGCTCGAGCAGGCGACGTTGGCGGAATCGGACGCGCGGGCGGCCATCGAGGCGAAGAACGCCAAGGTCGCGGGCGAGAACGCGCTCGAGTTCGTCTACCTGGGCTTCATCGACGACTTCTTGACGGAGATTAGCGACAACTCCCTGCGGAGCGGCCTCGCGGCGAAGTCGCGCGCCGAGGACGAGACGGGCGTCGTCTTCGGGTCGCCGACGCACATGCAGCACGCGGTCTACACGGTCCTGAGCCGCTGGTGGACGGGCAAGAAGAAGCAGCTCAAGAAGCAGCTCGAGGTCTGGGGCGCCCACTCCGCCCAGGACGAGCTGCGAAGAGAGGAGGAGCGGCAGAAGCGCCAGGCGTTGGTCCGCGACGTCGAGCTCAAGGAGGCGCGGGAGAAGGAGCGCGCGCGGCAGGCCGCGCTCACGCGCGCGCTCTTCGGCGAGGAGCACCGCC